TTTTTGACATAATCGCTCGTATTTTAAACGCGAGAGAGAGATAAAAAAATATTGATGCCGCTCGACTAGTCGCGAAGGATTGTTAAGAAGTCAGTAACACTTTCAGCATACGAGACACATCGGCCGCGAGTTAATCTTCGATCTTTCGATTGTAATACCGCGTTAATGCAAAAGTTTTATTCATACGGCGAATATGGCGGCGTGCAATCTTATCTGATCGTCGATCGAATATTCATTCTGTACAATTTAACCACGTTACGATGAATGTTAAACAGCAGGCGCGAAATTATTTAGACTGGAATAATTGGACTGCTGAGTTTATTCGTTAATGACGTATGTTGATTTAGAAAACGTAGTGATATTTTGCATATGTACATACAATTCTGCTTACGTTTTACGTTTACGTGCATCACAGGTGCATAAAATCCATCAGTCGAGTTAACGATGGGGAAAGCATATTATTCTATTTAAAAATATAACGCAACTGCATATTCTAAAGAATTGTTTTCATTTTCTCTAACTTCGTTTATAGGAAAATACTTTGTGATTTCTATAATTGGTGCATAACTTCGTCCCTTGCTAACAAATTCTGAGACCCTACCTTTGGAATTTTGTACAGAAACAATTCCAAATGAAAATTATTCTATACAAAGTAAACGGTTCACGTTAATAATTTGTATAGATTCAAGCCCACATTGGGACTTTTCGTGAGAAATTTGATTGGTATTATTCGTGAGAAACAGTATGAAAAATTACTGAAATTTCATATCCGTTGATCACAAGAATATATTCGATTCGTAAACAAAACTTTTACGTTTCGTTTGAAGTTAAAAAACTGTAATTTCCAAGGTTTACTATTGGATTATACTTCTCCCATTCCCTTATTGGCGATGTTTCACCGACGATTGATAGCGACGCGACTAGGACACGTTCGATGACGGAAAGATTGTTCGGTTTGGTAATACCGCGGCGCAGTCGCAGACGATTAACGATGCCAACGTTCGAGGATGTCTCGAGCAATCAGGGGTGCAGGTTGCCCTAGAGCCCGCGAGGAGGGAATCGAGTCGAAGGGCGCGAAGAAGATCGTAGAAATCCTTGCGAACGAGACCAGAATCCTCCTCGGGACAAGGCTCTGTAATGAGTGGAGAATTGCTCTCGTCACGTTCAAAGGACTCGCTGTGACGACGTCGATAATAAATAATATGGAAATACTTCTTGTCTAACGCGGATTCCTTCGCGCATAATACTTTGAGCTGAATCGAGCGCCGACAAGCACGCGGTGGAAGGACACCACGTTGCGTAAAGTTCTCCACGCGTTACGTCAAACGGTTAAATGTCCTGACATGGTAATGATTATATAATTTATACGGAATAATAGCACGTTAATTCGCGCGAGTGTGGAGACAATGTACAGAGCGATTCCAACGACTGGAGCTGGCCTACAGAAGAAGAACAAAATCATAGAGTATGCTTTAAATGCGCTGTTTTTATCATGGAACTATTTCATATTTTTTTTTTTTTACTTGGATCGATTCTTTGAACCATTTTGCTTATAAAAGATAGGAAGCATGGTCATCGAAAACTCGATGGCTGAGAAAATATTTTATTTTACTTTTAATATTACAAATACTTGGATTTTTATTGAACAGTTTTGTATCTTGACATTTTTATGAAAATTGGTCATGTTTACAACCGTCAATGTGATCCATTAAAATGTGGACCTTTTAATGAGAATATATGTTGCATCGATAAAATTCAACATAAATTGCTAACAAATAATATTTATGAATTTGGTAACTTCAAGTACCAAATCTGAAACCCTTAAAATTGACAAGTAAATTACGCCTATGTTATTTTGTTATTACCCAATTTTTTAATATTTAAAGTTGACTCGAAAATCACTACGTCATTTTACATTTGATTTTAGCTAACTTCGAGGACCAAAAATTGAAAAGCTATCGCGAGCTAATCGTATTTAATTCCGAATGCAATGCAATGGAATTATCGGTGGTTATTATATCTTGACGACGTTTCGATCGACTCGAAACCCTTAAAATTGACAAGTAAATTACGTCTATATAATTCTGTTATTACCCAATTTTCTACTATTTAAAATTGACTCAAAGATTACGGCGTCATCTTATAATGGATTTCAGCAAACTTCGAGGACCAAAAATTGAAAAGCTATCGCGAGCTAATCAATATTCGTATTTAATTCCGAATGCAATGCGATGAAATTATCGGTGGTTATTATATTGTGACGACGTTTCGATCGTCTCGAAACCCTTAAAATTGACAAGTAAGTTACGACTATGTTATTTTATTACCAAATTTTCTACTATTTAAAGTTGACCTGAAAATTACTACGTCATCTTACATTTGATTTCAGTAAACTTCGAGGACTAAATTTAATTGAAAGGCTATCGCGAACGAATCAAGTAAAATTGACAAGTAAATTACGACTATGAGATTGTGTTAATACCCTATTTTCTACTATTTAAATTTGACTTGGAGATCACTACGTCATCTTACATTTGATTTCAATAAACTTCGAGGACCAAATTTAGTTGAAAGGCTATCGCGAATGAATCAAATAAAATTGACAAGTAAATTACGTCTATATAATTCTGTCATTACTCAATTTTCTACTATTTAAAATTGACTCAAAGATTACGACGTCATCTTATAATGGATTTCAGCAAACTTCGAGGACCAAAAATTGAAAAGCTATCGCGAGCTAATCAATATTCGTATTTAATTCCGAATGCAATGCGATGAAATTATCGGTGGTTATTATATTGTGACGACGTTTCGATCGTCTCGAAACCCTTAAAATTGACAAGTAAGTTACGACTATGTTATTTTATTACCAAATTTTCTACTATTTAAAGTTGACCTGAAAATTACTACGTCATCTTACATTTGATTTCAGTAAACTTCGAGGACTAAATTTAATTGAAAGGCTATCGCGAACGAATCAAGTAAAATTGACAAGTAAATTACGACTACATAATTCTGTTATTACCCAATTTTCTACTATTTAAATTTGACTTGAAAATCACAACGTCATCTTACATTTGATTTCAATAAACTTCGAGGACCAAATTTAGTTGAAAAGCTATCGCGAAAGAATCAAGTAGAATTGACATGTAAATTACGAATATATAATTGTGTTATTACCCAATTTTGTACTATTTAAATTTGATTCGAAGATCACTACGTCTGCTTACATTTGATTTCACTAAACTTCGAGGACCAAATCAAGTAAATTTGAAGAAAAATTGAAGAATCAAGTAAAATTGACAAGCAAATTACGACTACATAATTCTGTTATTACCCAATTTTCTACTATTTAAATTTGACTTGGAGATCACTACGTCATCTTACATTTGATTTCAATAAACTTCGAGGACCAAAAGTTGAAAGGCTATCGCGAACGAATCAAGTAAAATTGACAAATAAATTACGTCTATATAATTCTGTTATTACCCAATTTTCTACTCTTTAAAATTGACTCAAAGATTACGGCGTCATCTTATAATGGATTTCATCAAACTTCGAGGATCAAATTTAGTTGAATCGCGAACGAATTCGTATTTAATTCCGAATTCAACATGATGGTTGGTGGTTGTTATGTCCTGGCCAAGCCGAATAGGGTTATCGTTCCAAGGTGAAATTGATCCCCGAACGGAGAACGGTCACAAATTACCGCAGGAATTCCTGGCGCAGGGTTACACTTCTAAATCAAGTTCCAGCCGAGCGTATCTCGACATCGACGGGCATTACAACGAGTATAAATAAAACGGGTGTCCGGCATCGACGCGTCGTGTTGGCACGTTACGAGGAAGCAACACGAAAACCGTCGGGAGCGTAGATCCGAGGGCAGATATATTAAAATGTTGTAGCGGTAAAGTGTATTAATTGCCGAGCGAAGCGAAAGATTACCGGACGGACCGGCTGCCTCGAACCGAACAAAGGTGGGCGATAAGTATTACCGTTACGTTGGTCCTCGAATGATGGATGAATAGGGTGTGCGTCGAGAAGGAGCACTATCGAATTCTCGGCGTTGTTCCGCGAAAAGATTGTACTTCAGAACCTGTTAGCGTTACAAGTTGCTCTCTGCGCCGAAGATTCTTTGCCCCTTATACACGCTCGATCCGTGACTCCTCGCGATCAAGATTTTTGTCCTTTATTACAAAGCACACGCTATCGTCCATAAGTTTCAGGTCACGTACCCACCGTTCGAATCTCGACCAAAGAGAGCAAACTGTTCTTCGCGTATCGGATCCTTTGGAATTCGACAAATGTAATACGATTTAAAGAACATTGCTTCGATCAAATTGGGCCATTTGCTCCTTTTGCAACGCACAATTTTGATAAACGAAGCTAACATAGTTCAATTTTTGTTCAATTTTCCAATCTGTTCCCAAATATTTTGACGAGCGTATCCTGTTAAGGTTTTCACTCAAAGAGTTAATATAATTAAATTGAGAGCGATAAGAATGTCTCACGGGGATATTGTTATATCTCTTCTTTTATCTTACGACATAAAGGAACGGTATTAAAGCATCTTGCTCCGCGATCAACTTAGGCACAACTCGGGTTTTTCAATAGTCGATGGTTGACACGCGTAGCTACGGATTATGCTAATTCTCTCGTTTCTCTGTCGTTGCTCTTTCCACCCTCTCCCATTCCGCTTTGCTCATCGATTTCTTTTTTCTGCGTTCAATGATCGCGGCAAAAATGATTAATGACGCGGTTCCGTTTCGAAATTCTTGCGATCTGGAACGAGCGTTAGCGTAATACACGCATCCAATGGATGTCTGAACAAAGAGATGGGCCGGGACACAAAGATTTATTTAAATGAATTGGCTCGATGCGACGTTTGAGTGACTCGATTACGCAACTCGGTACACGCTATAGATATAAAAATTATAGCCTCGTGAACGAAAGAAAATTAAGTTCACTGATTGTATCGTTGCGATTTTGTGTTTTTTTAGGGCGAAGTCTAAAAATGGCGGACGTCTGCTTAGGGAAAAATTGGAAAAAATTGGGTTAAATTTGCCAGCCGGTAGAAGGAAGGCCGCCAATGTCACGCTTTTAACATCGCTGGTGGAAGGTGAGTTTCAGTATTCTTTTCAAAAATATACAAGTTATTATTAAGACTTTAAATTCTTGAATTCCAACAACCTGAACTTCGTTCATCTCTATGTTCAAATCTCTTCATCCCTCTTTTCTGTAGAAGTTAACAAGTTACAAAGTTATCGAGACACGGAAGCTTGAATGCTTAGTTCCTTGAATTTATAGAACTAGTTATAGTATCGAGAACAGAGAAGTATTTGCATTTATTTAAATAACGTCACAACTTATCCATCGACGATTTTATGCTAATGTCGACGTTACACAGTGTGTCCAGCAATGGACAAAAATCAAAAAACTAAAGTCCACGTTTTATAAATTCTTATATCCCAAAATGTTAATAAAGGAAGATAGATTTCAACACTACCATAACTTTTACTGAATTTACCAATTTGTTGTGGAAAATGATTGCAATTTTCGGTGCATTTTCTTAAACATGTGTCATTTACCGAAAATTTGTGATTTTAATTTGATTTTTGCAAGTTATGTACACTATTATAGTACCTTCCAAACTGCTAAACAATCTTTTTACAATATTAACAATTGGTTCCAATTTTTTATGTTAAATGTTTATCAATTTTGAATTGAATATAAAAAAAATACCAAAAAATACCTCGATGATTTTTTGCATATTAATTCAGGGCACATTAAACTTTAATTTAACGCCAATCTTAGCTGCCCGAATTTGCCCGAAACAGAGGAAATGATCAAAATCATTATTGCAATTACCTGCTCCGAATCAGAATCGGAATTAATCTAATAAAAAATGTTCTTTCATTTATTTACAAGATAAGAAATTGTAACTGTATCTATTTGATATTTTAATTAAAAAGGAATGAAGGAAAAACATTAGACAGATGCAAAGTTATGATTTTCAGGCATTTCCTCTAAGCCAATCAAAAAACTTTTCGAACAAAAGTTACACAGCAATCGCTTGACAAGAAATTGCAATAGTAGAAATTAGCAAAACAATTTTTATGCAACAAAAAATCAAGGTCGATTCAATTTTTTTTAACAAAAATGTATAATTTTTGTGCATCACTTGATGCTTCTTTGTATTCTCTTTAAAAAAGTGTAAGAGGTCTTAGGTCGAAAATTGACTAGTTTAGAAGCTATGATTTTTGTTCTGAATTCCCATTTACACGACACACTGTGCGTTGTCAAGAAATTTGAACCACAAATAATACTTTGAAAGCATCTACGCCTTGTTATTTAGTAAAGTAACGTTAAAGCGAAGCAAAATTTGCGTTACGAGTTTCGCGTTGAAAAAAATTCCACGTGTCGCGCGACTTTGAAATCACTTTGATGAAATCAATTGAGCGACACGACTCAGCGTTAAGTACTTTCGTAGTGTTGGTCGTCATTCTGCATCCTGCGCGGAACAGAGAAGCCAGTTAATCAGAATTATTCCTACAGGATATTCACTGCTAACCGTGCTCTTAATAATATACTTGTGCAACGTTCATCCACCTTGACTCTACCTATAAAGATCATTCTACTCCCCGGCTGACGAAGCTCTAATGACTCAACTGGAGGATCGTCGGAGTGTTGGTGCGGACGTTGATTATAATTTATGGTCGGTGGAGTTGTATAAAACACTGCCTCGGCTTTTCTTTGCTCGACACTGATACATCGCAAAGAATGACCGCGGCGCGTGTGCAAAGTACATTTTAGCAGTCATTTTGTCGCGGTGAGGTCGACACGGTCTCATTCACCGATCAAAGAGCCAATAATAAAGTTCAAAACGCTTGAGAACAAAACGGAAGACTTTCATCGAATATTTATACAGATCGTAAAGATTCAAATGTTTAGCCAATAACAAGAAAAGCAATACGTTCGATATCCTGCATGAGAGTTATTTCCAGAGCCAAACAACTAGTGCACAACGTGTACGCGTTTGTGCATAATTTAGGTTTCAGATAAATTAGAATCGAAAATTAGAATCAACTGGTTTCACGGTTTGATGATTTTCTAATTTATTTTAATACAGTGTCACAATCTAATCTGAAACGGCAAAGAAACGTTACCACTTAATAATGCAGAAACCATAAAACGAATTCTATTAGATTGCCAGAAAGTATTCCTCGGGTTATCCCGCTTAGCGTTCTAATTAACTGTCTCGCAACAGACAGGTTTTCAAACTCGTTCCATCGGACATTCAGAATCACCATTACCCGATGGCATTTCGAAGACGGAAGTTAATCTCGAAGATACTCCGGCAGAACAACTGCTGCGTTGTATTTCAATTCGTTGTTTCTTCTAACGGGGCGCGCGTGTATAACGTATGAGAAATAGCAAATATAACGGATGGTCTATCGTATCTTTCATTATCGTTGCTTATTCCAGTAAATAGCGCGTTGAATAAAATCTAATCACGCGTTGCACAACGTATACCCTACAACCAGTATAACTTTGTAACAGCAGGGTACCATTTTTTATTTCTTAATTGGAATCTTCGTTTTTCACGGTTCACGGATTGCTGTCAAGGAGTGGTCGATACACCACTTACACAACCTGGGCTTTTCTGTATCCACTTATCGATTCTAATATTTTACATCGACCGTTTTCGTTATGTTCTCATCGACGTTTTAACGAAGCAATACGCTCGTCGAGCGTAATATATCGATTCGACTGACATTTTTCATAACTTCGGAACAGGAGAATTTCAGAAATGTCTTTTCAACTTATGAAAAGCACAAAATCGACCTCGATCCAATAAAGATTTATCACGGTGAAAGACAGACCATTTACGTACAAAACTACGGATTTAATTAGTCCAGCTAATAGTATGAAGATATTTACATTCCTATGAGAGTAATTAAAAACTTTCGTGACAGTACTCCGAACAAAAAACGCTGACAACGTTGTTACAGAACTTTCCCATTGGTTTAGAACGTATCAGACTTTCTTGCTTTTAATAGTTAAAACTTCTGACCAAATACAGCGTGTTCGAATCAATTCTCGACCTAAATACCGGGATCCGTTCCCATTAGTTCAAGAACCTCGATCCTCGATAAAACTCTGTTCCTTTTCCTATTTTTCAGTTTGTATAAATTAAGATCTTTTCATCATATTTTTATATCTTCCGTAGAATTGAACTGAAACAGTGATGTACCAACTATTTCCTCGAACATTTCGTAAGTCTTCATTATTTTCTAATTGCCCCAACGAGTGCCACGTGTTTTCGTGTCCAGGTGTTAAACGAAAATCGTGAAGAACACATTTCCAACAGTGTTACTAAAATGTCTGGAGCCCACTTGTGACATCGTAAACACTATATGGTGGACAGTAAAGTTCGAGTTTTATTACGGTGATCGTAAAAACACGCACGGTCGCGTATAATCGCGGACAGAGACGCGTAAACACTCTGGATTGTAGGAATTGTATACAATAGCGGATCGCCCAAAATCTAAAAGCCAAATTTCGTCGAACGATGGGACGTTTCGACATATCCACGTGCGTCTAGCGAGCGCGTACGATAGCCGTTGAAAGAGTTCGCGGGATTGCAGCGAAAGTGTGGGAACCACCTCTCGAACGGAGGACATAAATGCACCAGGTGTATAGGTATACTTTGCCCGCGTACGATTAACGTACACCCGTGCGTGATTCATGCGTAAATTCGTGTCTGGTTGCTGAACGGTGACGCAACCTCGGTTATGCTCGCGACAAAACGCTTCGTTTCGTCTTCGGTTCCACCTGCCTCCGTGAGCCACCATCTTTGTATCACACTCTGTACGCAGAATGTTTAAAAAATATTCGTCAGGCAAACGTGATTTTCGATCACAAGGGCTGTTTGATCATAACTGAGGTTGAGTTTATCTTCTTTCACGTTGGACAGACTTGTTAGTCTAGTGTTGGTCAGGGATTACACTTTACAGAAATAAAATTCACCTTTGATAATTGATCTTTCCATTCTCGTAATAAATGAACTACAACTACTTTAAACAAGCTAAAAGTTGTTCAATAGTACCACAAACACAGATGTTTCGAATTTTATTTAAAAAGAAAGACACCTTTTGCACGTGCACCGTTGGAGCTTTTAGAGTATTGGATTTTTAGTAATGGAGCCAATTGAGCGATAACTATTTTTGGTATAGTAGCTGTTAATCATGAATATTGTGAAAATGTTGAGACATCGATATAGAAATTCACACAATTTTATATACGTGTAAATGCAACAGTGTGACTACGAAATTCTTTAAGAACGTTATTATTTTTGCTCATTTTTAAATTTTTGTGAAAATATTCAAAGCGTAAATGTAACGTATGCGTCTGTATAGTTTCTGAGCATCGATCGTAATCGAGAGGGTTTCAATAGGGGAGAAACCGCAGGCACACTCGCGGCTATCTGAACATCGTTGTCTCAAGGTACGCGGAAGAGAGTCCCCCCAAAATTCTCGAGGCTTCGATTATCGAAAGACTACAGTCGAGTGTAGTTTGTGGTCAGTTTCAGAAATCGATCTCACGTTGCCCCGTGAGTTATACGAACGGGCAACGGATGGAACGATCGATATCGTTTACCGTTCTTCGATAGCGTGGCTACAAAAGTCCATCCACGCAGAAGAAAATGCGGTATCGGTTCGCGGAGGTAATTATTGTTTGACGAGAAAATAGTACGATCGAATGCAAACAGGAAATTGGATCCTATGTTGCAAACAATAGCATCTGGACATTTTACATTCTTTAAACTTGTGTGCATCTTCAACTATCACACCAGATTATTCGAATTTTTGATAAATTATATTAATCGTTATCAAAGCAACGAAATATATTACTGGACACGAGGAAAAGCTGATTAAGTGTAAAACTGACCTAACTTTTAAAATCCTCCAATCCTTTCAAGAGTTATGATATTTTAAAGATACGCATGAAATTTTAGTAGAATAAGTTCTGGTCAGACATTATAGTTTCGGTAAAGAATTTTTTTTCTCGAAAGTGCGTAGGATTTCGGGGGTACGTCTATTGACCAAAAATGATTGTAATTGGCCCCCACAGTCAAAAATAATTTTTTTACAACGATATGAAATTTTTTAATTTCGACGAAAAATTTGTTCAATTACTGAATTTTTTTCTTGAAAATAGATAGAAATTCGAGGGTATGCCTATTCACCAAAAATGGTTGCACTTGACCCAAAGACCTAAAAATAATTTTTTCAGAACGATTTGAAATTTTTTTTTCGCCGAGAAATTTAGACACGATTAGTGTCGATTTTTCTTAAAAATTCGTCTATGATTTTAAGTAATTTTGTAGGAATTATGGCCGTTTGAAAATTGGACCATTTTTATGGGGTTTTTCTGACTTTACGGGCTTAAAGAACAACTTTTCTAACATTGTTAAAATTCCTACACATTCCTCACTAAAATACGCGTTGTTTGCCTCTTGAAACATTAAAATCGCCCCATTCGTTCAGGAGGTATGATGTTTTAAATATTCGCATGAAATTTCGGGGAACCATTTCTGGCCTCGCATTAGATTTTCGGTAAGGAATTTTTTTCTCGATAGTGCGTAGGATTTCGGGGGTATATTTATTGATCAAACATGATTGTAATTAATTCCTGCAACTGAAAATATTTTTTTTAGAACGATTTGAAATTTTATAATTTCGCTGAAAAATTTCGGCACCTACTCGAATTTTTTTCTCGAAACTGCGTATGATTTCGAGGGTATGTCTATTCACCAAAAATGATTGTAATTGATCCCCGCAACCGAAAATAATTTTTCCAGAATGATTTGAAATTTTTTAATAACTTTTTAACGAAGCCTCAATCAAGAAATTGATATTTTTGATTTTCGTCTCATTTTGGCCTCTAAAATCTCCCAGGGGTGACCGAACACCCTGTATAAATTGTTAGTCACGAGGTAGTCTAACGAAAAATAAAATTAGAAATATTTATTAACAAATTTAGAAGTCACTCGTAATGAAATATGAGTATTTGATGGTATTGACAATTCAGTTTGTTTCATCGACGACCAACTACCGCCCATCTCCATTTATATCCAATATATTTAATGCATCCTTAATAAAGTGTTCGATAACATTTAATACCGCAATACAACATCCTAACTATATTACTCGCGGGAGCACATTATATTTGCAGCAATCGTTATTGAAATCGAGGCAAAGAACGCGAGCGTACGCCATCGAAACAACGAAGCCCGTTGGTTTCTTAATCGGTCCTCGCGGCAGCTTCATAATGGTCGCGTTTTTCGATCGAATGTCGAGCGATCGGCGACGACCGTAGTAAAGTCATCAAGTAAAAAGGCCGATCATTAATTCGCGAGTCACGTTGCTGATTCGTTCTCATACAGCTGCGTGTGCCAATCTGTGGCTCGCATCTGCAATCACCTTCCGACCAATCTGTGGTCCTCATCTGCATCGAGCAACGTACTGTTGGACTGCATTGAGTTGTCTGGTTGCACGTCTGTATCATAGATTATCGTTTCGATCGGTGATCTTCTTTCGTCTTCGAAACGACGCTATCGAGAGTCGATCGAGACGCTAGAACTTCGATAGAAACGCTTCGTTCCGCGGTCGATTCAATTTTAAATATAAGAAATTGTGATGTTTCTAAAAATTGATCTTTTTAAGTAATTTGAAACTTATTGCAAGTCAATTGTAATTTTAAACCTCTATTCGATATTGATTCCATTGAAGCTCGAATAAAAGACTAGAAAGACTATAAAAGCGGACGAAGACTCGAAAAGAAACTTTAGTGCTGTGTTTGATAGAAGTAGATAGTCGACAATACCGCAGAACACTATACAGATCAACATTTCATATCACAGTGGTAAACTAATTGCACACACGCACTGTGCAATTTCGTATCTTGACAGAGTACGTGACAAAGATGCTAATTTGGTCGAAGGAAATTAAAAGAAGTTAAGAAACAACGATGCAGAAGGCATATGCAAATCGATGCAGACGAGTCCTCAGCTCACGATCACTATTAAAACCTGGCTCGAACGACCTGTTGCACTTTGTACGTGCATGGTGCAGAAAGTTATGCGAATTCCGTGGACGATTTAGATCATTGATAATTGTTCTTGGTGACACGTGTTTACATACGTACCCCCGTGGTAAGTTTCCATTTGGTCACGAATAGTACAGAGTGTTTCATGAAACAGAGCCGTAAATTCGAATACACTTATATCATAGAAAAATTAAATACTGATAGAAATTGATTAATCTGATCGAAGTTTCAATATTCCATCGAAAAAAAAATAACTTAAAGAAGTAGCGAGTAGCGAAAAGGATTAGTGTCGTAAGATTTTCGGTGTTTTAATGGACACTAGAAATGGAAACGTTGCAAAATATTTCCAGAAGACAACGGTGCTCACTACATGACCATTAAACAATAATTGCGCGCAATGCGCACGATTTATGTGGCGTATCGTGTACAACTGATACTACGTGTATGGTCGTTAACAAGTACACAGCGAAGTATGTTCGTATAATACAGTCGCGAAATGACAACGAACCAAGAAAAAACAGTTTAGAGAAAAACTTAACTGCTCGGTTACCTGTGTAATACGACTTCGATACACTTTTCTGTCCTCAACAAAATCGAGCACGCAGAAGGCAACGAAGTTCAAAAATTTCAAACACCAATTAAAAAAGGAGAAAACTGGAATAATATTTCTAAATAGTAAAAAATCAATCTCGTCTTGTTATAATACGAATACGTGGGTTGTTTAGTAAATTACTTGAGCGAATTAAACATCTGAAACTTGTGCTATTTTCAAATACAGATTGTCTTATTAATAGGGCACTTACTCGTGCAATAAAAATCCATTCTAATTAATATCTCATAATTAGACTATGGATGTTTATGCACTTATGTAAAAATATAAAAGATACAGTGAGATACGAATTATTATATTTAGGGGTTGAGACAACCCTTTACAAAGCTCCCATTTCATTAATTCTATTAATAAAAATATGAATATTCTGCCTTTGGTAAATTAAGTGAGATAATTGTAGTCTATCTTATAGAAAATATAAAAGTCACGTAACACTGAGAATTCCGTGAATGAGTATGGTACTTGGGACAATCGAAAGGATCGAAACGTTTGAGTGAATGTAAAAGGAAGGCAAGGGGTACCGAAATGTACAATTAACAAGCGTTTTACATACTTTTCCCGCCACGAAGAGGAAACGGTAGAACGAGTCCGCGAAATTGGATAATTCGTTAGCTGCAGGTGGCTCGGTTCAGTGTTCTCGATCTCGTAGGCGAAAACCCGGCAGGCCTGCGGGTGGTTTTGCTCGGTTGTCGATAATAGCGCCCGGCGGGTCTGCTTCCATCTTGCACGAGACCCTGCTTGTAGGTACCTAATTACTTGCCATCATCGGAGAGAGAGAGAGAGAGAGAAAGGACAACCAGAGCGAGAGAGTAACGGTGAACCGACGGGGAGGGAATTGTACCGAAAGGGGAGAAACAGAACCACGTGCTGAAGAGAAAGCACGTATGCTGTTTCATTATCGTAAATTAGTTCGTTCCAACGGCAGAGGAACAATCTTGTAACTGGCACGCGCGAAATGGGCTCCGTCGCGTTTATTTTAAGGGGAAGAAACTCTGATTCGTAACGTCGGCTTTCGTGCTTTACGGGATGACTCCGTAATTTTACTCGACTGCGGTTAAAATTGTACAAACGACGATCGCTCACTGAGAAATCTTCTTCTTTCTGTAGAAGCCTACAAGTTAACAAATCGTAACACACGCTCTTCGAGTAATTAAATTTTTCATCGAAAAATTGGTCTCAACAGAGATAACTTAAGGGTGACTTAAATTTCATCCTTGGAGAAATTTACTGTCATTGAAGAAATGTAATTAAATATACTGTAAACTCCAAAAAAGGTGGTGATCGCTTGGAGCAATCAATAGAGAGTAGAAAAGGCAAAATATATCATTTCTGTAAATCGTTAGCACGCCAAACAGACTAGAATTAATCGAACGAAAAAATAACAGGAAGAATTGAGAGATTACTATTTTTAATACGTCGTCGTATAATGAAATATTTCGATGTTATCGCGAAAGATTTCGATCAGTCCCGTTAACTCGTAAACGGTTGGCAAAAAAAGGATTCATAAATTTCCATGCGTGGGTTACGCAATCCCATTCCTATACCGGTGTGTTTTATTTCTTTTTCAGGAGAAGCCATTCACCTTGCCAGAGACTTCGGCTACGTTTGCGAAACCGAATTCCCTGCGAAACAAGTTGCCGAATACCTCAGTCGGCAGCATTGTGAACCGCAAGATTCCTACAGGAGAAAAGAACTTCTTCATGCCACCAAGTAAGAATTTATCTCCGCGCCGCGAACAATGGCGAAAGAAATTTATCGAGATGATCGGGATTGCATCGATTGATACGCACCGATGCTCGAACACGCGACATTAACAAACCCCGCGAGATGAGCCGTTCCCTCCATATTCATCGAACCGTAACTAGCAACTAGTCTTCGAATCGAGAACATAAATTTAACAGCGATTCGAAATGTTCGAACTTCCCGGGGATCCTTGTTTGGTATCGAATGGGAGGGTTTAATTAGAGTTAACGTTACGATTCTTCTTTCAGACAAATCACCAAAGAGCTGATGGATCTTCTGAATCAAGACAGATCGCCACTTTGCAACACACGGCCGCAACATATCCTCGATCCAAGCATACAGAGACACCTAACACATTTCTCTCTCATATCGCACGGATTCGGAAGTCCTGCGATCGTAGCCGCTCTTACAGCAATACAGGTACAGTGATCAAAATTATTGATAACTCAACCACAACCAGAGATGGACATTTCATTGATAATAGATTCGAAAATGACAAATCTTAATTTTCATTCAAAGAGTAAATAAATATCTTCTAATATATTTCATTAACCCTCTATGGGCCGAATTTGTTACTTTGATATTTCATCAATATTGTTATTGGTTATCTTAAAGTCATTATATAATTAAGATCATCTTGTGAAAAAACTAAAATTATTTGGTAAATTATCGATATATTAGCACGTGACCTGAAAGTTACACGTATCCATACAGGGTTAAACATACAAATTTCAAAATGATTATTCGTGCTAGTTCCATACACAGATATAATTAAACAATCCTTAAAAAGTCTAAAACCTTGCAGTATATTGTACACTAATATCATCTCTGTATAATTTTTATTTTGTTCTTCCCGACATACTACTTCTTGGGCCAAAGAGTTCTTCTGAGCCCTTAATTTATATCCACGTTCCCACTGTTAGGAAAATGATTCAATATTGTTATTGATATCATCTTGTGAAAAAACCAAAATTATTTAGTAAAATGTCGATATATTAGAAAGTAACGGGGGCTCATAGAGGGGTAAATCAACAAAGTTTAGTGTTTCTGCTAGAATTACGACCTCGCCGCGTTTACCGAAAAATAATTTCCCCATAAATTCTGGTAATGGTGGCTCTCTATTGGAAGTAGCGCCGCGCGACACGCGTCGAAACGACTCCGTAAGAATGCGAGCAGAAGTTGAACCGAACCGAACCGTTTTTGTTGCAGAAGTTCCTAAGCGAGTCCCTGAATCACCTTGAAAAGATGTACCCAGGCAACGGGAGCGGCGTGACAAGTAGTCAGCAGTCGAGCCTCGACACGAACAAGAGCAAGGACGGTACGTTGATGAACGACATGAAGAAGTGACGCCCAGAGGACCCGCCTACCTCGAACGTGGTCACTTCAATCAGGCACTCTTGGCCGTACAACTGAGCTTTTCGCGGTCCTTTCGCGAACAGCTTCTGGTGGACCACAGGAAAACGACACGTATGTCCGCGATACCACGAGCGTTTGTATAATAATAGAGGAGCGCACTCATCGACAGGGATAAAGGTGCGACAGCAGCGTCGCGGATGTCCGTGTTCGCCGAGGTTGGCTGGTCGACGAGCGTTTTTAGGTAAATCAATGAAACGAAGCCGCGTGAAGATGTGCAATCGCCGTCGGTCGTCGATGGGATCGTCAGAGAGTCGTCGAAGGACCTCGACGAAGGACCATCGCCGGGGCAGTGGGGGATACGGGACGGCTTTGATTTCCCCTTTGTTCAGCGAAGCGAGTCAGGCCGCGTCATCGAGGACGCTTCGATGATCCTGTACTGTTTCGATGAACGTGTGTACTCGTGTTAACAAAATAGGAATAACTTTTGTTCTTTCACTGCCTGTTCGTTTGAAACGCATCCGTGCTGATTACGAAGGAACGTATCGATCGATTCGACGGGATCGTCGCGACAGTTACGGAATAGGGCTGCGAACCGTTCTATGAATTTGTCTGCATTCGAATGTATTCGGTGGTTCGAACGTCCCCGCGAAAAGTATTCGACTTTGTATTTTTGAGAAGATTCTGAAGACCCTTTCAGCAAAAATTTACACCTTCGTGGCTGTATTTAGATATGTTAAGTATGTTTTCTCAGAGTACTGAAATTCGTAAGAAGAAAACGCATAATAGAGTATGAAGGGGTTGATAAGCATATCCTGAGTTTTGCCACAGAAACGATACTCGAATGCTTATAAAATATTCTAACGTTAAATGACGCGAGTAGTCACCAGCCCTAATTCGCAGTCGTCGAAGAAACTATAGAGTTCGAAGCTTTATCGCGTCTTCCCTCCCTTAGGTTCTCGTGCATGCTCGCGAAATGCGTGTTCGATCAGAGACTATATCCGTGCGTGTACGATTGTTTGTGATAGGATTAGTGATAGTCGAAACGTTTGTGCAATTGTTACGGTTAATGTTTGCAATTATAGCCCTGTGTTCCAAACCGCAGTACAGTAACAGGTCACGGTTAAATCGAGAACGTTAGAATCGGTTCGTTCGAAGGTAAACAAAAAAAAAAATGCAAAGTTCCAAAATTCTTTTTCGAGCGACGAATATATTGAAATGTCAAAATTCTATTTACTGAGCCGAAATGGGTGTAAAGTTCTTTAGTCGTTTGTATCCTTGCAACTCGCGAATCGATCGATAATTGGAGGATACACACATACACGGGACACGAACACACACACATACACAGTACAACGAAGAAGAAACAATTTACAACAACCTTATTTCTCTGTATAATTTTTGGGTCGACTATTTATATTGCTCAAGCATCGTTTTATTCTTTGCTCATTACCGAGCGTCCGACATACGCGCAGTATCGATTATGATGCCGTTACGTAAGCATTAATATTGTGATATACTGCTCTCTGTACCGCGTGCAACTTATAATTTAGCGACTACGAATGTGAACCGCTCGCGAACGTTTCACGGACAATTTTTCTCAGCCGACTGAGTCCATTACGTAGAACAACTCAACGCCATTTACATGGAAACATTCAGTATGCAACGATCGCTGAATATTCATGAACGTCGCAGCCTTTGAAGTTATATATTTCCTTGTAAACACATTTAAGCGCACGTTTAACGTGGACGTTTTTATTGAATTTCTTAATAACTCATCCTTCTTATTAGTCACCACTGAAATCTACGCTCGTATCGTACAGAGTAGGGCGTAATTTATGGTACGACCAAAACAGAGACTGTTCCCCGTGCAAAACAAAGTGGAAAGTGCAGAATAGAGTTAGATGTTTTCCTTAAACGTAGCTTTTCACAGGAAATCGCCTCGCTTTGGATCGTACCACGATTTATGGCCTTTTTTCTGTATGGAATCAATCTATGGTTCGAATACGATTGTGGTTGTTCAAGACCACCGAAGTACTACCCTCGTAACTTTTTTCTTTTACGCAAAAGTACATGTTGGTATGCAGGAAAGCAAGATCAGTCCTGGTTTAGGCAAAATGTAGTAACACAGATAAGGAAAACGTGGATAATGTCCAGTAATTTGTTCTTAGTAATAATAGCAAAAAAAAAGAAAATACAATGGAAACGAGATCCAACAATAATAGAGAAAAAGTGATCACAATTCAGAAATATACTGTTATTAAATGCAATTGAGTACAGTTGTAGGTCTGATAAATCCTGAGTAAATAGACTGATCTTTCTTTTCCCTATTTGTGTAGCCATTAGCTGGAAAGATGATTGCTAAGTTAAGAACAAGGGGAATTTAGTACTACGTATAGTAGAGGAAATGTGGAGTGTGTCGAGTAATTTTTACTTAGTTGCAGGCCTTACAAAACCTGATTAAATAGTTTAACCTAATATACCTCGCAACTCCTTTCAAGATTGATCTTTCTTCCTTCCATCTGTATAAATGGGAGGTGGAAAGATGATTCTTGATTCAAGAGGAATGTAGCAGCATGAGCAAGAGGAATGTGGTGAACATTTTTGCCCTGCCTTGGATCTTACAAATTCTAATTAAATAGTTTTACTTAGTTTGACTCGTAATTCCACCCAGGATTGATTTCTCTTCCTCGCGTTTGTAAAGCTGTAAACTGGAAAGATGATTCCAGAGATTGTTGTCTTTGAGCAGATTTCATTGCTTATTGTTAATCAAAAACCTTCGAAGGCTGACTGAAAAAGTATCAACTTCCGAGCTTCACGTAGTACAAACTCTCTGATACCAAACCAACATGGCGTAAACACGAGAGTCGAGCTTAATTGGTGGTAGGAAGTGGCCTTGAACGTCCAGTTTATTCCAATCCGACTATCATGGAAACCAAATGGACTCAGTTAAATTTATCACTGTCCGTTCGTTTCGCGTAAATTTTAGAATCTCCGCGGCAATTTCACGATCGAATCAAAACTCTATCTTCATTATCTCACGCGGGGTTAGATGGTATCACGATAATCGAGGTGAGAATGTGCAACAGCCGTCCGAGGCTAAAAAGAATCTTAATTTAGAATCGTTTATCTATTGCGTTAGCACACAACGAGGTTTTATTCAAATCAAACTATGGATACGAATAGCCGAATCATCGACCTTGCAGTTGTCTATTCATTACAGTTTCTCAACGATCGATTATTCGAGCTCGGCATGACGCTGATTTTTCCAATGATTTTGTACAGTCGACTAGAATTAATGATACGAAATACAGCTTTCTATACTCGTATTAAGAGATACTTTATTCCACGCAAACTTTTAATGTTCACGATTCATCTACGTAATAAGGCATTGAATTTTCTAATAATTTGCTGGAGCGACGAGGTTTCATTTAAAGATTTTAATTGAGAACAATACAGAATACAAAGTCTCGATAAGCAGAATCAAACTTGGAAAGTGAAAAGCTGAACATCTTAGAAATTAATTTGCAAATCGGATAAAGCTTTCTTTTATTTAAACATGTATTCGTTTTTAAAAAAAATACACATTTTACAGAAGATATTTTTTATCATATAATGTATTTTTGTTGACTTGTACGATCCAGACTATTCAATGCTTTATTATGCGTTTTATCTACTTCGTATTCTCGTCAAACTAATAACGTATCTCTCATAGATTTATAGGCGCGATACGTCGACGCAAACTACAGATCGGATAAACAACAATTGCGTTTTCAAAAGACCCGTAGATAGTGTCGAAGAGACTATCGTTTGGTAACTAGAACCAGAGATGGGCAAACTCCTCGTCTAGATAACAAATTCGAGCAGAGGATGTAAGGATAAACCATTTTTGATCCGTTGGCTGTTCGATAAGAAATTATAGAATGAAATTTATATTCCACGTTGAACGGATAAAAAGCTTTTATTCGATAACCGATCTCGAACGGAACGAACGTGTTTTTCATTCGTTGTGTATTTAATTCGAACAAAATTTTGTCCATCTCTGACTGGAACACACGTTTCGATCGGCTGTTTGTCTCCAAACTTCGGACACATACGTATTATCGTAAAGGAATAAACGCCCTACGACTTATCGATGCTAAACCACGTTTCCACGTTGCAACGATCATCGACATCGGCGCCGTTCGACCGAAAGCGAAATTAGTAATTCCTAGTAGACAACGCGTTAATTGTCGGGCGATTAATCGCAGCGAAGCTATATTTTCCTCCTCATTGAAAAGACCTCATCCGCGAGATTTTCGTTTTCGCGGCGAAGAACGGGAACGACGTTTATTGAAAGCGCGTATCGCTTGATCGTCGGTGTCGAGAGTCTCGAGGAAGCCCAAGGAACATATCCGAGGATCACTCGTCGTGCCAATGCGAAAGTTGCCATTTGAGATGTGCCAATTAAACAAATATCGAGTTAGAAACGTAAGAGCGAGCGACTGGATGCGAGCGTGTCGATGAAACGCGATCGAACGAGCACCGAATGTTGCGTTAGAGTTTTTAGGACGCGCGTATCGAGCGCTCTTTTCGCCGCGCGGACCACGCGAACGGGAGAATCGCAACGCGACGAAACGTCTCGACCGAAACGCGTATCGAGTGCTTGGTCACTCCGTTCTGGTCGAAAGGTAAAGAAAAAGTAAAAGAGCAGAGCGGAAGCATGAGAAATTGCGTTGAAGTACAATACCAGGTGAACCTGAGACATATCTAACTTTGTAATTAAATCTTAGGCGTATATGTAAATGTAAGATTAAGAAACCTGATCGAACGTCTCGCGTTCCGGGATATTATGTACAGAGTATTTGAATCTTTCTTGTGATATAATCGTACATATTACTAAGATATAAACCGATAACACGGACAAAAAAAATTACTATTATCATTCCATGTTTTTTCATAGAGGTGAGGTATTTAGCGTGGTTGTGAAGGGCACCGGATGCCGCTCCGTTTTAATTAGAAATACAATTTTTCGAAGTTCTCGAAGCAGCCAGCGCGTCGTCGGATTTTACTTTGCGACGATGAAACATGATTTGTCACCCTCGCGGCGCGTGCTTTAATCGTAGAGGAACAAAAAAAAGAGGAAAAAAAACTAAGAACGAAAGGGCAGAGAACCACCTTCACCGAGTTTCAGACCAACACCGCCGGGATTAGTTAGGCAACGGAAAAGATGAAAGAATGTTAGGCAAAACAAACAAAAAAGAAAAAAAACAAAAAAAAAATGAGAAAAACCTTGAACCCCTTATTTTCACTCACGACTACTTAGGCGAACTCGTTAGACTAAGGTCCCGTAAATTAATACTTATTTATAATCGTTAGAGCGGCCGTAGAAAGACGTTTTCTACCAGAATTTCTGTGCCAACTGCAAAGAATGTTGTAGACAATTTTTGTTCCACGTTGAAGCATCATTCTAATCTTGTAAGATACTCAGATATATCTTTATTAAATATATTTGAATTTCGTAGTATATTATATTCTGATATTGATTATACATTTCATTTTTGTATATTGGTGTGTGATAAATAAATAAGAATATTGTTTCTAAGCAATTTATAAACTTTAAAATGAACGCCAGCGATGCTGTGGCGTCCCCTTCAACGTTCTAAATACAACGCCATTTAAATTACACGATTAAACGATTTTCTAAAGATTTCTATTCATTTTGAAAAACAACTAAAACCTCGACGTTTAAAAGCTATCGAATAAAACATAATATTAAAGTTAAACTAAAAACATAAAATAAAAAGATGAAACCCTATTCCATCCTTATAATTTACACAAGAAGAATTGTCAACAAGTCTGGCGATAAAATACGAGAATCGTCGCAAAAGTAATGTGTATAAATGGAAATGAATTTATTTAATTTTAAAAATGTTATGGACAACCCTTCGATGGAATGTATTTGATATCGTTGACTGTTTGCCAATAGGTTTATTAGTTGTTAAAATTAAATGTTTTATATTGGGTTCTGATGACCAATTTCATCATTCATATTTTAAAATGAAACTTTACTAAATAAAACATTACGGTTCAGTTTATTTCTACTTCACATCGTTTAGATAATACAGAAAAAGAAACGTTAATTTATAGTTCGATGATAATTTTTCATTATTTAATTGATTTCTATGTTATGTATATCAGTTCGTGAAACACTAAAATCCATAAGACAAAATCACAGAAGTATAGAATAGACATTGCATGCAATGCTTTATTCTGTTATAGTCATTTAAAATAAAAGTAAAATAAAAATAAAACACTCCTCTGTTAAAGATTGCCCATATTTTCCTATCCTATACCTCATCTGATAGAACGCAAAATATTTATTAGAGCTAATAATTCTAAATCTGATCTGCAGAAACTCCTCTAGAAAACAAAAAACGTTTTACTTTATTTAAATATCGCTTAGAAAGTAAAGGTCAAACATTCGGTTGTTCTGTATTTCCGATTTATTTATTTTCCATTTAATTTCTTCCATCATAGATGTTGATGCACATGTTAACATTACACTCACAAGTACTCACTATAAAATGATAAAATTATATCTAGATCCTTATAATTTTATAAAAATAGACATCATTTCAATTTCGTTCGAAAACTTGACCGGTTAAATGACTCTTACGCATATCTAAGTAACCACACAGACGAAAACATCACTTCAACAAGATATCCGAATTATTATTAACTAAATGTTATTAGATTTATTTCAAATTTGCGATACCGCAAGAAAGTATTAGCTCGTATCTATTAACACGATCGTAAGAGTAACGATTTCTGAACGACACAACCGAAGGTTCTAACGAATTTCCTACAAACACTTAACAAACTAGTTCACATACTACAAACTATCATCACATCCATTAGTTTTTAGAAATTTACGAGACCACAAAAATACATCGAATTAAGATCGAAATTGTTGAGTCTTATCTATCGCGTTGAAGTGATCGATAAATTCGATGGTGAATTTTAAAGACATTTAGAACACGCATATTATTAATTTCCATTATACCGGTCACAGCTTAATAATTAAATGCTATTACTTCTTCGTCGATTGATGTAATCGTAACGTGTGCAATCGGCACACTCCATTGCCTGAAAGAAAGTCTTACTATCTCATAGATTTTTTGCACATAACTAACAAAGAAAGCAGTTTCAGTTATTCACGCATGCAAAAAGCTTTCAATTTCTCTAATCGAATTCAGAACAATTTGAGTAAGTACTTTCTAGCGCGTACAAATTTTGCATTTGTGATTAGAAAAAAAATTTCTAAATCGAAACTTTAATAAATTAAAGCTCGTAAGATTATTTGACGGTGGAAGCCATTTACAAAGCGAGACATTCTGATATGTCATAAACTGTAAGTATGAACCAATATAAAAACTAAGAATATTCCTGATTGCAAACACAATTTTGACAATTAATTGGTTAATTAATTTGAAAAATTATTACACTGGATTAGAATTATTACCAGTATTTCTATGGAATAATGAGTCGAGAACACATTTATGAGAAAGTATACCATGAAAATATTGTAATTGTTGAAACTGTAAGTATTAATACTGAAAGAAACTGTAATTAAACGGTAGACATAATATTAAGACCAAGTGTACGTTTCTGATCGCACTTTTTTAAATGTGAGTATAAAAATTATTTTATAGAAATCAAAAAGTACTCACGCGATCTCAAGGCACTTCGAGCTCCACTGATCAGAGAAACAGAAGGAGATTAAAATATTTCAATCCACGAAAACGCGTTCCCACGCGATTTTCCTTACGCTTCTATACACCTAAGAGGGATACATGAAAAAATATGTTAGAGGTAAATGTTATGAAAGTTTGGAATAAAACTTGAATAAGAATGAAATGAAATGCATATGAAAATGAACTCTTACTATTGGTACAAATGAATGTACTGCTGATAAAAATTCGAATGATGCGTAATGTCCACTTTAATGTAAATTAAATACGTATGAGTCCGTTGTTTAACAAATATAACGAATATATTTTTTTTTAGGTTTTATCTTCGCTGCATTGTAATTAATGTAATTAAGATTGGTGCATAGGTATGATGTAAATTGAATGAAATTTATTATATTTTTTTCTGACAGCTTATCTTAATATTAATTAACATTTTGTGAATTTGTAAAACTTAAAAACACCAAATGCGTAAGTTTCATTGTAATTAGGCTGATATTATTAATATATCGATAAACGGATGTGTTTAGATTACTGAAAATATTAATGTTACTTATTAGGTCTAGATAGAATTTATATTTTTTCCAGATTATAATGGCGTCGATTAAGCAGGGTTTTAATTTAATTTGTTTCGAACAAAGCTTACAATAGCGTTATTATACTTCTCATTTATTTCAGTTTACGAGTATTACATATATGTATATACGAGAAAACACATAATTACTCCAGAAACGAGAAAATATTTACGCACATGTTATTTTATGATTTTTGTATACTTATACTGAATGATTATAAGATTACAGGTTTTTATAATGTTGTAACTACTATAATTTTTACAACACTCTACAGAAATCGTTGCTTCATGTATTTTGCACATGTAATTATATGTGTGTTCATTAACATGTATTTATATTTTTTTTTTTTCTTCTTTAGTTTTCACTAAATTGTTTTAATTATTTTTGCACGTAAATACTATACAAATTATTATCGTATGAATTACGGTATAAGTTTCATAATCATAGGCAACTTATTTTAATATTAATTTATATGTTCACTTTGCCACTGAATATCATTTTAAATATTTACTTTGTTCCATTTTAGACATATATTTCTAAGTCATTATAACACACACGACTGTCCGAGCTATGCATGTCCTCAAAACAACGTTAAAGCTGTATGAATGATAAGTTCTTCAATTTATTTATAAATTCATTAGGGCACACTTTTATAGTGTACAGCCAATTAAAGGGGGTACAGTATTTTGTACACGTACAAAATGGAATAGTAAAAGGGGGATATGAATTTCAATCTACAGAAAAGTTTGACACAGCTTCGACGTTTTTGTCTTAAATTGCGTTATGATGCACGCTTATTTAACAATTTTACTTGTTTCATTCTACAGATCCTCTTGGTCCTCTAGCCCTCCACTCTGACGTGACATTTGCCAAACAGGTTTCAAGGAGTGGGTCTGTATTATTTTTCTTTTTTTACAGGAAGTCAGAAGTACGGAATCAACGATACGGCAGAAATTAATTCAGACTTTCTAGGAGATGGATATTTACACGATTGTTCGAGACACAAAATCATTTCAAAGTCGCAAGACGCTTCGATTACAGTTTTCATTGTATTACGTGTTCCAGCTTATTCAGCGGCAACGAAAAATTCATCTAAAAACCGTGTCGGCCTTATTATACAAAATTTTCGAACGGAAACGAATAAAATATACAAGGGACATAATACCGATTTTTCCATCGAGATTCAATCTATTATTATCGAGACCGTTGAAGATCAATCGAGACGTTTAAATTTTTAACGAGTCTCGTGTTACTGCTCGTTACCGTCGCAATACGATGAAAAATTGTAATATTGCCTGCTTGTCGTTTACCGTGCTTAGTCTCTTCCGTGTCGCTTTTAGTTTAAAAACGTTCTCGGTCGTTTATAAGTTTTGGCATCGTAGGCACCATAGGTCGTCGTGCGTGAGGAAGAGTCAACGGTTTAGGGCTATGAAATAATAAAATCAGAAACAAAATCTTTTTCTCGCAGACGTTGCGGAGAATTTAAAATCGTTACGAAAATTATAGGATGATTTTTTGTGGACTTTTACTTGGAAGGTCGTGAATACGGAGCGTTGCGGTAGCGCGAGCTTGAGCCCGATGTCGTTGTCGTCTTGTAAGATTTCCATGCGCGGCTCGATGATTCCTCTGCGAATTTCATGGAGTGAGTCATTTGCATTACTTCAATTCATTCAAACACATCACGACGAAATATTAATCGGATATATCCTAACCTTCTATTGCGAAGCGAGTGTTATGTTTTTTTTTTTTAACGTTTAAGAAAATTCTTAGAAATGGGCTGAAGAATTGCTCAGTCGAGAGTTCAGGTTGTTACATAAAGCCATTCGTGTCTGTTTAGCGTTCAATATTATAGATAAGTTTCTTTAAATGTTCGATTCAACACATGGAAGGAAGTAGGAGTGTACAGAGTATTTGAAAATTTCGGCTACCTTTATCAAAAGGAAATTATATTTTTCTATTTAAAGAGATGTTTAAATCATGGATGTTGTCCCCTTGGATTGAAGAAAACTATTATTTAAGGTGCACTTGCATATTACAAATTTAAACTTAATTTGAATGTTGAGTAGTCTAAGAGATACTAGAACAATACTATGTGATGAAAAAATGTTTAAATCCACTTCTATTCAAACCGATAAATTCTCGAACCAAGTAATGTCTCGAGTATCTGTACACTCCTAAAAGAATATCCTAATGATTTTAAAAAGTTAATATAAAATTTGTTTTCCATTAATATCGTCATTCTTGATTAAATATCTATTATTTTATTCGTGATATAAAAATCGCCCAAGCGTTTATGCAAGTTTATCGAACACAATCCGGCCGACAATCGATTTAATTTGGAAAGATTTAACCGTGAGTGTAAAATTGTACACACTTCGTATTGTTCAAGATCTAATTATTGCAGCTACGAGCCACGTTATTAATGATTTTAAAATAATTAGGTACATTCTGATGCATTTAAATGTTCCATTTAAAACTTTAAATATTAACGTTATCACACTAATTTTATTAAGTATTTCATGCTCCACCAATTTTTTATATTATCAGATTCTTCATACGTTTCAGTTCACTTCAAACCGTTTAATTATTTTTAAGAACCAGAATTCAATAAATCTATGTATAATTAATGTATTAGGGTATTTAAATCAATAAAAACTGTAAGTACCATAGGAATTATGTTAACCCTTAAACGACGTACGTTCTAACAGCTATGAAGAACAGACTATTGTTTAAATAATATTTTTCTGTTTTATTATGTACTGGAGTTAGTGTGTAGTTATATATTATTTATTGTATAATACAACTCATATAGAGTAGTGCCCACTTAAGTGACCGCTTTTTATCCCCACTTAAGTGTCCACAATTATCCCCACCAATTCTTAAAAGCCAAGCGACTTCGAACATCGAAGGGGTGTTCGGCCACCTCTGGGAAAAATTTTAATGGTAGATTCTAGAGGCCAAAATAAGACGAAAATCAAGGATACTAATTTGTTGATTGAGGTTTCGTTAAAGAGTTATAGAAACATTTACGGCCACACAGTATATTTTCGGTAAAGAATTTTTTTTCTCGAAAGTGCGTAGGATTTTGGGGGTATGTTTATTCACCAAAAATGATTGTAATTAACCCCCTCAACTGAAAATAATTTTTCCAGAACGATTTGAAATTTTTTTTTACCGAAAAATGTGGGCACCTAACCACCGTCGATTTTTCTTAAAAATTTTACGTCCTACAGAAAAGTTGTCTAATACTTTTTTCTAGATGTCTATGAACTCTACTTCAGACAAAAATTTTCATTTAAATATATTTACTATTGCAGGAATTATGGGTCTGAAAATTGGATCATTTTTATATGGTTTTTACTCACTTCATGGGCTCAAAAAACAACTTTTTCATTATTATTATAATTTCTACATATTCTTCGCTAAAATACGCGTTATTTGCCGTTTGAAACATTCAAAACCTTCAATTCGTTCAGAAGTTATGACGTTTTAAAGATACGCACAAAATTTTGGAGTGACATTTCTGGGCTCAAATTATATTTTCAGTAAGGAATTTTTTTCTCGAAAATGGTTACATTTTCGAGGGTATGTCTGTTGACCAAAAATGACTGTAATTGACCCCTGCAACTGGAAATATTTTTTTTAGAACGATTCCGAATTTTTTAATTTTGCCGAATTTCAGGGGAATCTTCATTCATGGTCAGACATTGTATTTTCGGTAATGAATTTTTTTCTCGAAAGTGTGTAGGATTTCGGGGGTATACCTATTCACCAAAAATGATTGTAATTGACACCCGCAATCGAAAATAATTTTTCTGTGAATGAGTTGAAATTTGTTAATAACTTTTCAACGAAGCCTCAATCAAGAAATTGATATTCCTAATTTTCGTCTTATTTTGGCCTCTAGAATCTCCCATTAAAATTTTTCCCAGGGGTGGCCCAACATCCTGTACATGGTTTCCGGTGCCAGGTATTGTATCTCACTCGCACTAATCCTCTTTCCTTATCTCCGTTGAATTCTGAGAAGTAACCATGCCCACATAAATGACCACGGCCGGTCTCGAGCGTGGTCACTTAAGTGGGCAGTACTGTATATTGTGCAAATTTGTGAGTAAACTACTGTAGGGAGCTAGGGAGTGAACGTGTCTTTCTCCCACGCGGCGTTTAAGGATTAATTTTGTGCATATCATAAATATTCCACAACGTATAAACGTGTTAAGTTTGTTAGACAAACAAAATAATAATGCAACGATAATAAATGAGAAGTGTTACCTGGATATTCAGACGTTTCATAGTACTCGTGTGAGGAGTGAGGAACAGCGTCGTCTTCGTACTCGTAAGTTGTATACCTCAAGGAAGGATACATTAATTTCTACATAATGTATAAAAGTATCGTACACGTAAAAATACCTACATTATTCGAAATTCATATGCACCTTCTACACATATCTCATACACTACACTTCATACACCTCATACACACTCTACTACACTTAATTTCATGTTATTCTCTTATCACATACGCCTTATTTTAGTTTTCATCGATCCGTTATCAAAAATTTTATTTATTGGGAATGTTTCTTTTGATTATTACATACTTTGAATAAACCACATTTTACTATACAATTTATGTTTACGACGCATAGTATAAAAACGAATTAAATATTCTCAGGGATCAACCTTGGGAACAATGTTAACAGAAATTCATTTCACGCATTGCTTTACAGTAATGGCCGCGGTGATTTAAAAAATTCGGGAGCCAGCAATTAAATTCTCGCGCGCAGGGAAGCGTATTTCTTCTGGGAATCAACTTGCATACTGTCTGACAAAGTAAGACAATAGATACGAGAGGAAGCGAGATAAACATAGCAATGCCGTGGTAAAAAAATTATACATTTATGAAAAAAAAACACCAGTGGACTAATCAGAGTTTTCCGATTAAAATGAGTCCAAACGCGATGCAAATCGGATTGGTTGTGGGTAGTACATACAAATTGTATATCTACATCAAATGTAGATATGTTAAAATAAACATTTCAATTTTTATTCAGTCTTGCTCCGAATATCAACGAGGAGTTCAATTATTCCTAACCATACCAATTATTTGATAGTTTAATAGACTCGTTTTCATAAAAATGTCAATTATACTTACCCCCCTGACCCTGAAGTATAATGTCGGTCTCCGTATCGGCTACTGCTGCTCGTCGACCCATGATAGTCGTAATCGTGATGTGAACCAACACGATTACTCGGTGGCGGGGTAGCAGTCTCGTACCTTAATAAAGCGACGTTAGTAAATTTTGCACAGTATTTGCTCGTTCCTATTATTATAACAATAATATTTGCCGATATTTATAACAACTTACCCATAACTTTGATCCATAGCGACTCTTGCACGATCCAAAATAGAAAATACTTTACTTTTCGCTGACACGGGACGAGAGATTGGTCCTCGACTCGAAGGTGGCGGTAGTATCGCCGCTAAAATAAGAAAATTTAGGAATCGGCATGACGATATGCCGCTAAATTTATTTGTTCGTTCATTCGCCGCGTTTCGATCTGTTAAGGGAAGAAGAATCAGTGTAATGATTATTCCAACGATTACTAACCTCTCGAGGATCGTGGTAGCGTGGGCCTGGCGGTTGGCCTTAATATTCCACCACCAGCAGGAACACCTCTTACAGAGGGTCTTCTGTCGTCGGTGTTCACCGGATCGTCTACCATACTCATTTCCATTTCTCGCATTTGCTCTTGACGTATATTGTCGTTATTGTCAGGGATCAGATACTTTCGGACTTCAGCTAACGCGAACGCAATACGAGCATACGCCTCTGCTGGCGGCGCAAGAGCTGTTATTTCAACGTGTAGATCGTCCGAAAGGTGTGCATACTTTGGATCCAGAGACATACGGCATTCTGCTTCCTAAGTTCAGGTGAGTTACACGTTATCAAGGGTCAAGAGAAAAGAAACGAAACCTCTTCAACCTCTTATTAGATTACGTACACACAGTACTCACTTAATATTACAAACATACACACTCCTGATTATTATCATGCAGGTAGTCTTATAATATAAGTGGAAACAATAATCATAAAATCTATACGAAAACAAATTAAATTTAAAATAACCTTTTGACGATCTTTCATCGATCCTCTTCCCAACACTGCCATCTTGCACATAGTTTCTTCTTGCAAACGTTTCATAGAATTACCTTTTGGACCCAATAATTTTCCAACAAAATTAAACTATAAAGAATTTCATGATGTAATTTAGAGAGTAATGATTTAAAGGTATATATAATTACCTTAGGATGTTCTCTCACAGGTACCAACACTTTAACTGAAACACGAGTTGGTTTTTCACGATAAATATCCACATATTTTGGATCCCTTATTGGTTTTCCCATAGCCTGAGTTTTTTGAATTTCTATTAAACAAAGTAATTATTTTTGATTCTATGGCACGCTAATAAAATGCTAACCCAAGCAAAAACAGAAACTATTGCTTGTTTGTCATGTAAAGTCATTCAAAACATTCCAATTTCATTATTGAATGTTGAAAGATTTTTATGATTCGTTTTATTTTCCTTCAAGGAAAATATTTATAAGAAGTTACTTTACAAATGATATTTAGTATATAAACAAAGGCAGTTTATGTTATATTTGCATATATTTTTAATTACAGATAATAATACATAATATTTATACCTCAATACATACATACAAACCTATAAAGTAACATTATCTTTAATAAGTAAAAAAAATTATTAATATGATTCAGAATTTAACATCTATATACAAATGTGGATTTATGTATTACAAAGTAATACATTAAAGGCATATTTATAATATAAATACATACATAAACATGAGCAAACAATATAAGATATAAAAAGAAGTGGACATAAAATTATATGCTATTTCTACAAAAACAAGGTATGAGACTATAGTTAAATGATTCATTGTCCTTCCCTATAGATAATGTATTTTCAAATATAGCATCCTCTCCACTAATAGTAACTATGCATATACACACATACATACATTGCAAAAATTTTCTATTGATTTTACGAAATGTAAATATAAAATATGTAATATGTACAAACATACTGTCTTTAAAAATTTAACAATATAATGATCTTATATTTACGATTTTAATATTGCTATTACGAAAAGATTGGGAAAAATACAAAATATAGTATAGATATATTGCTTTGAATAATATAATTAACATAAAGTCATATATATTTTATTTGGAGTATTTAATTTAAAATACTTTCGAAAATCTTTATATTCCTAATTACTAATTTAATCGTGAAAAAACTGAATGTTTTTCATATACACGCTACTCTAACCTTAAATATCAATTCCTTAAACTCATTCCGTTCGAATTATGAATACATAAAATAATAAATTGAAGTAATCACTGAAAATAAACAACGAACAAAGGAAACAAACGCAGAAACAGCATGAAAAACGTTAACATAAATATCAGAAACAATGAAGATGTGGTAAAAAAAAAAGGAGTGAACAACAGTAACACTTACCTTGATCGATTAAACTAGCTGCATTAGGCCATTTCTGAGAATCCAATTCAACTTTGACTTGTAATAGTTCACGGACATACTCCCCGGCTTTATCAAGTTGATGCTCTTTTTCTTCACGATCTTTTTCGGATAATGTTTTTCCCTTATCTGAATTTTCATCCCTTTGATATTTGTAGTCGCCATTACTTGGCCTGTCACTCATGATTAATAATGGTTTATTATATATTCCAACAAATATATAAACAGAAAAGTAACAATTTCGTTAATCAGACACTTTTTTTTGCACTCAAATATACCACTCACTCACGACGCGGTTTCACATTAAAGTTACAATGGCGGAAGCTAACTCTTCTACCTCTAGTTAAAATTAAGGCGTACCTGCATGTATGCTTCATTTGGTGTTCCATGATTTCCATGACTATCTCATTACAGGATCAATATTTTGTTTAAAACAAACTTATCTTCAAATCTATTTCAAATGTTAAAAAATGCTACTAGTAAAGTAGTAGTCAAATTAATTCCAATAAAATCATAGTTCTATTTTCATGAGACAATAGAAATACTATTAAATACTATCTTCGTATATCATACCAAAAATTTAATTTAAATAAAATACCATTGCATTTTAATTACGGTAAATCTGACTTAAAAATAAGATAATTAATTTCCTATCTACTGTTTGAAAGATTCATTTTAAGTTGTTCTAGTTATACATTATAAAATACAAAATGAAATATTCGAAATATTAAGAAAACGATAATGTAAAATGATGAAAAAGAAAAATTCATGATCTCTACGTGACTGTAATAATTCGCAATCACCTAAAACAAACCTTACATTCATTACGAATAAACAATTTGAATAATATATTTAAAAATAATATTTTAATTAGTATTATAACGTAAAAAGATTAAAGTCATTTATGTCACGTTACAATGTTACGTAAAAAAAGACATTCCTAAATTCATTAAAATTTATAAAGAAAAGAACGAACTTAATTTCCTGAGCATAAATATTTATATAATATTAATTTGATGTTTGTATTAACTGCAGATGGCGAAAATATCAAATACATCATGGTAACTAAATTGTTAAATATAACCGCAAAATATGTTAGTTTACACGTAACGAGCATTTGATTTGTTAATTGTCTGGAAAAGTTGTAATATCGTGTAGACAAATATTTTAAAAGATGAATCACATTATAGTAATACGAAGTTATAGGCCGGGCGATGAAATTAATTGCAACGAGATAGTAAAAGCCGGCGTAATGTCATCTTTAAATTCAACGTTTATTGGAATTGCGCTCAAGGAATTAACTTTCCAATTGATGATATTATTTGCTGCTATTATGTTTATCTTTTTTGGATTGCCCTTGACAGTTTGCCTTTTAGTTATTCCTATTGTTATTATTTGTGTGTATGTTGGAACTTACCTAGGTTTCACTATGAAAGCTATGGAAGTCAGTGAAGAAGTTTCTAATATACCAAGGTAAAAATTTTTTATACTTATATGCCCTTTACATGAAATTAAGAAGTTAAAAGTTGAATACCCAATTTTCTGTTTTTTTTTTTGTATTGTTAATTTTATTTTAATTTTTAATTTATGATAATATACTTTATGAAGCACTTTATTTTTTGGGTAGATAAAAAATATTTTTCTTATATGTAATAAGTATCAAACTAGTAGAGCCATTAAAAAAACCAAAATGGTTAATAAATCTTATAAAAACTTCTTCATCTATTATGACAGGATTTTCATGTCCAATGCGTTTTCCTGTTTTTGGGTTGCTGAAGCATTTGAACCTTATCTAATGACAGAAAGTCCCAAGAATATACACTATACCATAATGACGGAGCAACAATTCCGTGATTCAAACATTGATATTTCATCTCAGGTTAAGAAGATTGTAGGTACTATTGCCTTGTGTAAAAGTCATAGATTAGATAAAGGTGCATGGATCAAAAGACTGTATATACATGAGCAATATACAAGAAAAGGCATAGCATCTTGCCTTATTAATGTTGCTGTGCTATTTGCTATTGATCAGGGATATAGTTGTACTAACATTGTTGCCTCAGAATACACAGAAGGTGGACGAGAATTATGTCTCAAAAAAGGTTTTGAATTACAACAAATGTATCATAAACCTGTTTTGGGGTCATTTATATCTATATTGATGTATGAGTTGTCATATCAAATTAAGCCTGGTGAAGATGATTATGTGCCTACCGTTGATAGCAGAATAATGCTTAACAAGTGAAAATTAGATCTGAAATTTCTTTAAATACTCAACACATTCTTTGTGATGTCAAGTCTGATCCTATATCTTCCAAGGAAAACTTTCCAAAAGTTGCATTTATAACTTATTGCTGAGTAGTATTATTCATATTTTATATTGTTACTGAGATATTAAAAGTGCAGTTTTATTTGATAAATTTATTATATAATTCAATAGTTAACATATTTGGGAATTGCTACAATGTGTACGTATGGTATGTACAAAGAAATTATAAAAATATATTTCCTTACTTTTTCATATTTTCCCAATACGTTTGAACTTCTTTATTTTCCCAATGTTTTTCCATTACTTTACACAAATATCTGAAATAAAAAGAGGTTATATGCATTTATACTGTGAGAAAAGAAACTATATTCTTTGTAGGTGTTATATACACATCTTTCTATTATTTTTATGGGGGCTGATGTTTTTGTTAACCAAGAACTATTATTTTTATACCTGCCAACTCACCAGCTTAATATCAGGCTGAGATGCAATAGAAAAGTCTGGGGACTTATGTATCACATAAATGAGTAGATAGGTTGTAATCCTATGTCAGATCAAACACTTAAAAAGTCTTTGATATTGGGAACTAGTGACACATACAAGAAAACATTGTTTAGAATTGTTCAAACATTTTTAAATTATTTGCAAAACCATAACAGCAATGAACTGTTATGTACTGTGTTAGATATACAATCTAGTAAATAAGTTTTAATACATTTTATTTTTGAAAAAGATCTATGTAATAAAGGAATATTTGTATTGATGAGCTGCATTTTTGAAAATGTATATTTATGTATCAATAAAGTTTTACAAATTTATCTAATTTAATTTTTGAAACTGCTATACACAATCATGTTACTGACTAGTTCTTTCCATTATAAAGATGAACAAAATGAAGTATTATAATTTTAATGTTATACTTACTTTTCTTGAATTTCTTGCAACAAAATCTTTTCTCTCTCTGTAATGCCATGTTTAAGAACATCAAGATTCATATTTAATTCTTTCAGATTTTGAATTCCAACTAGATATGTAGCTATATCTTTACATTGCAAAGAATGCCACAATGCTAATTTAGCTAATTCTGTATTATGATTCTATAAATATATTTTAGTTTAATACAGTTAAAATGTTTTTATATAATAATTGTCTGTTATATAAATAAGTTACATATTATTACTATTATTATTTAAACATGTATATGCATAAACCATACCTTACAATATTTTGCTGCATCTGCACATATTGCCTTTGTTTGTTCAGAAGTAGGATGCCAGGCTGGTGGACCATCATTAGTTAAAAGTCCCATACAAGGTGCTGCAGCATTAATTATACCAATATTTTCTGCCTAGAAAATGTATACAATATATGTATGTAACGAATAAAAGTTTTCTTATCAAGAGTTTATTACATGTAAAATTTTTAATGCTAATCATCAACAACTTTGGTATTAGTAATTTTTGTGTTAAAGTATATGCTAAAAAATTAAGAAAAATTACTCCTGATCTTCTTATAATATACAGACACGTTCAGTTAGTCAATTGTTAGTGTTATTATTATAAAATCGTACCTTGAAAAATGGAATATAGTCGATCAAAGTGTTGTCGATTAATGTAAACCTTGCATAGCTCAATATACACGATATCCTAATATTACTCTGTTCTATACATTTTTTCAAAATAGACACCGGATATCCGGTGATACCAATATACTTAGCTTTACGGTCTGCAATTTTACACGAGAGTTCTGGCAAAGTTTGCGTAATTATTATATCTAAACTCGGAGCAAATTCGATATCGTGTACCTACGATATAATATAAAAACAAAATTTATGAACCTAGGACATTAAACGCAAGAAAAAGACGAATCGTACTGACTTGTATAACGTCGACATAATCTAAACCTAAACGTTCTAAACTCTTTTCGAAACTTTTTCGTGTTTTTTCTTTTGAAAAATCAAACATGTTTTCGTAATTTAATTCGTATCTTCCGACTTTCGTTGCAATGTAATATGCTTCACGCGGAATGCCTTTCAGAGCCTAGAATCAATGAATAAATTAAAATATCAGCGTTGATTAACGAATAATGTAATTATAGTTGGAAGCTTAAGTAACTCGAGTTCAAAGAATTACGAAAAAAAAACACTTCTAGCGATTGTTAGCGTATTATAGAAAAATGTTCTATTACTTTCCCAATTACAGTCTCAGAACGACCTTGACCGTACCATGGCCCGGTATCAATGTAATTAATACCCCGTTTTATTGCCTGACGTATCGTTTCAATAGCTTCTGCCTCATCGTACGTTCTATGATCAAATAATATAAATCATTCAGTCATGCTTAATAAACAAAATTCGAACAGTCGTTTAGTATATTTATACTACAATTGTCAATTTAGAAGTAATTCAATTTTATTACGTTTCCTTACTAAATATTTTATTTCATGATCGTTCATATTCTAAAATAAAATACTGCAAGATTAGAAATAATATAATGAAAATTCCAATGTTCTTTTACAACTGTCGAATAGGTATAAGTTGTGCAATTTATTTACATGTGAGTTTAACAGGGTGTTCGGCCACTCCCGGGGAAAAATTTTAATGGGAGATTCTAGAGGCCAAAATAAGACGAAAATCAAGAATATCAATTTCTTGGCTGAGGTTTCGTTAAAAAGTTATTAAAAAATTTGAAATTGTTCTGAAAAAATTATTTTTGGTTGCGGGGGTCAATTGCAATCATTTTTGGTCATTACACATACCCTCGAAATCCTTCCCACTTTCTAGAAAAAAATTTGAGGTGTAAAATTTTTCGATGGAAAAAAATTTCAAATCGTTTTGGAAAAATTATTTTTGATTGCAGGGGTCAATTATAATCATTTTTGGTGAATAGTTATACCCCCAAAATCCTGCGCATTTTCGAGAAAAAAATTCAGTACCGGTGGAACTTTAAACGTCAATAACTTTTTAACGAAGTTTTCATCAACAAATTGGTATTCTTGATTTTCGTCTTATTTTGGCCTCTAGAATCTGGCATTAAAATTTTTTCCACGGGTGGTCGAACACCCTGTATGTACACACGCGTAGAATACTGTTGGGCGGTTAAAGTGTTAATTGTTTATTAATATTATTTGTTATTACTGACCCATAGTGGCAACCAAATGGTCCACCACCGAAAGATAATTTACTGACCAATAAGCCAGTTTTACCGAGAGGTCTATACTCCATTGCTTTCACCGCCTCTAAATCGTGAAAACCTTCGACGTAGGTTGGTGGTAACATTTTTCTAAACATCATTGAGAAAATTTATTAGCTGATATATTCACAAATATTCAGTACTTTAACGCTAAACGTTCAAGACCATAATCGAACGAATCTCTTTAAGAATATTAAATTAAATACGTCCGAAGTACACTGGTGCATGCGAAGAGATATAAAGCGACAGTAAATGTTTTAATTAAAAAAATAATTTATATTAATATGTTTATTGCATTGCTCAGCGATAACGACTTCGAAAACATATTAATTGCAAGTCTTTCAATGTACATGTGGATTATGATAATTACGGTTATCTTTTGAATATGTGTTTAAGAATGAAGTTGCGTTTCAAAAAGGGATAGGTAAAATATTTTGTGTATTGTAAATTTACTTTTTCAATTTTCTTTATTTGTTTCTCTTTGTTTAATTTTATTATTAAAATTTAAAACAATGCACGAATATATATAGTAGAAAAATATCTGTGGTGATTTACCATAAAATTCTACAGACGGTAAATTATCATCGGTAAAAAATATAAAAACCCATTTATATATATTTATCTTGTCAGAAATTTGTAATAATATTTAAGGAAAACAAAGTTTAATATACATATTATTTCAAATATACAATAATTTTATTAAATGAGATACACATATGTGATATAAGTAATGAAATTCATCTGTATGCTAGACAGAAGTATATTTGTCTCGTATTTTTAGTGTCCAAGGACTACTGCATTTTAAATAAGCAAATCAGGTGTGCCATTGGAAACTAATGTCATTGTACGCTCGTTCAAGATGGGGGTATTAATACTGACATTTTTAGATAACATTATCACTGCTCTAAGATATCACGCGTGAACTATAATAAGAGATAAACTCTAGGCGTTAGAATTGAACACACTCTACATAGCATATATGCAAGAATCTCAGCTAGTAGTTTCGTATATATTTTTGTATAATTTGCAACTATCCTCGATTAAACTAAACTTAAACGTAAATCAATAAAAAACGTTGTTTGTGTTTCAGATCAAGTTTGTACACAATGAAAAAGTGTGACGTACCTTACTGTCACAAGTCACTGACAGCGAAATGTGCACCCACACGATAAGAACAAGACTGACTTAGATTGTCTCCAGCTACTCGATATCAAGCAAATTCTTCGACGACAACCTAGTGTTGCCATCTCTTCGACCTAAAGGAGTTTAAAACCGGTTCTGTTTTACTAGTTACAAATATATAAAACTATATAGGAACTTATATTACCGACAACCAATAAACTGAGACTGGCGTCGTGATTGCATTTCCGGTGGAGCTAAATGCAATATGGCCGCCACGTTGTACGCGAAACGCGCGCCAACAGTGTTCTCCTGGCATCAATTACACTTTTAAGAGGAAAATACCGTTTGTCAGTCTAGATTCTCCGATACGCAAGGTAAATAAGCTATCCTTCTTCGCCATATTTAATATTTTTCCGATTCGTGTTCGCGCGATTGTAGAAATAGCACTTTCAAGGCTTTCCATTATAAACTCATTACGTTGGCACGTGTGTAAAAATTAAAAGTGAAACGAAAAATACCGAAACGGACGAACGTGTCGCGCGAAAAGATCGTGAATTGCGCCGCCGAGAAAAGTAACGGAGAGAATTCCGGGATTTTTATGCGAAACGCTAAATAATAAAATTAGTACGCTGTTAACAGTGCGCCGTGCACCGGCGGTTAAAGCTAATTTAATGATTTTCGTTATTGGCTCGAACACCGTAAAGCTATCCGGGCCCATCTGTTGCCCGCGTAGATTTTAATATCGCTCCACTCATTTGCGCCGCCTGAATCGAACCGACTAGCGTCTCCCTGTTCTGGCCACCATTTTAATGTTTTCCATTCCCCAACGATTTGTTTACAACTCTTTTTCTATTGCAAACAATCGACATTGCTTTATCGCGCACTCTGGTTTCTGTCGGTTCAATCAGTATCGAATGTTTTCAAGTAGACTACTAAAGAAATTTTGTGGGCCATTAGTCTAACATCGTTTCCACTGCCTGTTATTAATTTATTTGAAATTATCATTTACATATACATATAGGGGGTTCGGCCACTCCTGGGAAAAATTTAATGAGAGATTCTGGACGTCAAAATAAGACGAAAATCAAGAATGCCAATTTGTTGACGGAGGCTTCGTTAAAAAGTTATTAACGTTTTAAGTTCCGCTCGTACTGAATTTTTTTCTCGAAAGTCGGTAGGATTTTGAGGGTATGACTAATGACCAAAAATTATTGTAATTGCCCCTCGCAACCGAAAATAATTTTTTCAGAACGATTTGAAATTTTTCTTTTTCGCCGAAAAATTTCACACCTTCTCGAATTTTTTTCTAGAAAGTGGGTAGGGGTTCGAGGGTATGACTAATGACCAAAAATGATTGTAATTAACCCCTGCAACCGAAAATAATTTTTCCAGAACGATTTGAAATTTTTTAATTTTGTCGAAAAATTTCAAACCTTCTCGAATTTTTTTCTAGAAAGTGGGTAGGAATTCGAGGGTATGAGTAATGACGAAAAATGATTGTAATTGATCCTCGCAGGCGAAAATAATTTTTTCAGAATGATTTGAAATTTTTTAATAACTTTTTAATGAAGCCTCAGACAAGAAATTGATATTCTTGATTTTGTCTTATTTTGACCTCTAGAATCTCCCATTCAAATTTTTCCCGGGGGTGGCCGAACACCCTGTATAGGATAATAATTTTGGTACATCTTTATTTTTGCAATATTGTATTTCTACAATATTTTGTAAAATATTGAACATTTTGTATCGTTGTTTAACATGGATATTATTTTGGTCCGCTGCAACATGAAATTAAAAAGTAAACAAATCATTCGGATCAGCTGTCTTGAACTGTTTTATATATCAGCTTTGGTGACATTGTTCCATTAGACTTAATTATAGATGTGACCGAATTAGAGCGATCACTGGTGGAATTGAAGACACTTTAAACTCATTTTCGCTGGTCAATATTCTGTTAATTATTGCAGGAATTTAGTCCAAATGCTTTGCACCTTAATCCCCGTAGCGTTTAAAATAGTACAGACAAGAACTTCAACATTTTGTGGACGATTATCGAGGATAAATTGACGACAATTACTATGAAATGTAATTAAACCGGGCTACAATCTTCGAAGCTGTTTGGTATGGATTTTCCGTTCAGTCGTGTAAAGGATTTCTGATAATGGGAGATTAATAGGTCAATCCTGTGTCAATTTCTTGGATAATCAATCGCATGAATTATTGGAACAAGTTGCTTTAGATGTCGTACGTCACATATAATTTATGCATTACGGTGCACTGTTCCATTTTAGCCGACTAGCTTCTTAAACGAACGATTTTCTAATAAAGGAACACGTCTTACAGGATCAATTGTCTACCCTGATCTTTCCTTAGATTCAAATCTGTTGTTTTATTTTTGGAAATATATAAAAAAATTTGTTTGCACCTAATTGACGGGTTTGAAATTTTTCACCAAACGTATACGAGCTGATTGCTAATGAATTCGACAAAATACTTGAAATATTTGTGGAGATTGAAAATCTCTATGGCAGGACGACTGCTTGTATTTGGGTCGAAGGTGGCCATTTCTAGCACTTCCTGCGAAGGTGAGAAACTGCAGGTTACGGTGAGTTTGAAACTTGGAACTTCTTCCAATAATTGAGGCAATTGACTCGGGGAATTGACATAAGATTGACCTGTTCATCTCCCATTACAGAAACCAAGGAATTATGGAATAATTGTGTACAACAGAAATAGGCAATATTCGAATTCAAACAACTTCAGTTACTCGGATAAATTTTTAATCAAAACGTTCTTTATTCTTATTCATTATTGCGTTTATTTAAACTTATATACAGATACAGTGTCATGGAATTGTTTATTAACTTAAACTTAAACTTAATAAAATACCCATCGAGACAATCATCTATAGCGAAATTCGTTATAACAAGTCGATGTAGGCTCTTACAAGATTCGTGGAGCCGCGTTATTTAGTAATAGTTAAGTCCAATACCTAGTTACTAATACTCTAAATTTATTTACAAATATGCACACGTGTGTTAACAATTAACGTTTCAATGTTTTTATGCAACTGCGTTCCGTTCTCTTAAGTGTTCTGATCTAACTTGAAGTGTTCTAAGGTGACTTGAAGTGTCCTAACTGTAACGTTGCAATGTTCTTGTAACTGTGTGTAATCTAACTGTAACTTGGTTCTGTTCTGAGTGTCACTTGTAAGGGTTCTTGTTCAACTTGTAACTGTTAAATTCTTGTTGTAACTTGAAGTGCTCTGATTGTAACTTGTAATGTGTAACGTGTAACTGATAACGTATACTGATGTCAAATCTATTTAACCAATCAAAACTTTGCCCATTCCTTGTGGGCCAGTCCTCCCGACATTCGAAATCCCACTCATTGAGGGTTGTACAGGGGTGGGCGTCCGTGGTCCCAAAGGGCAGGTAAGTGGGCCCAAAGTACGGTTTGAAACTAATTAACTAGGGCTTAATGGCTTGAGGGTATGTCAATAAGGTACATTGCCAGATTACCAAATCAAGTAATTCAAGTAATAGTGAACCAAATGACTTGTCCTATAAAATGGTGAAATTCCCAACAGTCGATTTTCTCGAAAGCAAAGCCTCGCATGAAAAATTGTTATTCTATATTTCAGACTTATTTTTTCACGTAGGATCACCCCCTTTTCGCTTGAACCACCAGTTACCGAACTGTAGATCCCGTAGGAAGCTCGTCGGAATCAAAGGGTGCAATTACAGTCAGCATTAAAAGCAAGACAACGACGGTTGTGGCATGTGCTCCGTTTTCAGCAGCAACCGTTTCGTCGGTTTCAGGGGGTGTTGGAAGTTCGAGGCAGAAGTACATCGAGTCGCGAGAAGTTGTTCAATAATTCCTCCGGGTGTCATGACCGAACAATGAGACGAGTATTGGCCTCTCGTCGCGTTAGGTTCCCCCCCCTCTCCGTCTGTTCGTCAAGAGGGACGGAAAACCAAGCGACACCGGCTCGTTTATTAATAAACGGAAAAAGAAGATAAAGGGGCTAGGGCAGACGGGTTTGGCGAGGGGGGTGGCGCGGCGGTCGAGCAACGCAGGATGAAAAGGAACGAAGTGGTAGGGCGGCGCGTGACGCGGGGTTTAAGGAAGTCGCCGAATATATACGCGCGCCGATCGTTCGCCGTCGCTTTAACAATTCGCGACGCGTCCGCGTTAACAGCGTTACGACAACAAGCCCGAGTTGTAGAAACTTATAACGAGAAAATAATGAACCCGGTTCACCGAGTCTGCTTGGAATGCGAGTCGGTGTACACCCAACCTCTCGCAAGTAGCTGTCCCTCGTTTCACCGTCCCTCGCCTTAACCACCTTTTCGATTTTCTACCGCTTTCCGCGACCAACCGCCCTCTCCTCCTCCTCTAGCTGCCTTCATTCTAATTTTAGTCTCCGTTTCCATTGCACGCGTTCCCCGCCCCCGCCGTCTCTGTCCTCTTTGTCCGTTTCATATTTTCGTTTTACCGATCACCTACACCTGCTCGTTTTCGTCCCCTACCCCCCCGTCCAGTGTCGTTTGGGATTCGGTTCTTTCGTCTCCTTTCGCAAAGGAATATTTGAATTTGCCCCCGTGGATTCCACGGGAGGGCAGTCCCGGATGAAACAGGACAAGGTGCGCGATCGAACCCGAGATCGGCGTTTGTATTGAACCTCGAGGACGAATCGAGGGAGGAATTTCGTCGTGGAATCTGCAGCCCCGAACCGAGCGAGGACAGAAAAGACTGATGTCCTGTATCCTGTCCCCGGAGCGATCGAGAGGGGAGGGGAACGACGTCGGAAAAAAGAGGGAAAGAGAGAGAGAGAGAGCCTCGGGATGCCGTTGGTATCCGGAATGGATTACGGAATCGGATGGAACAGCGGACCGGAAAGTCCTCCTTCTCTATTCTAGCGCGACACCTCATCATTCCGCCACGTTCGCCTAGGAGGTATCCGCCGACGTACAACGTGTTTCGATCTTTCCCCGAGGCGTGTACGGTGATTTAAGTCACTGTTTACGTTTCCGTGTCTTTCGCAG